CAGCCATTCCCAGTCCTTATTTAAATAAGGACTGGGAATGGCTGAGCCATTGCAAACATCGATTATCTTGATTATCACTTCAAAAGTTTTTTTCTCTTACTTAATTGGCCTCTCAGAAGAAGTGGGTTGTAGCCCACGAAAGCTTATGCTCTAATAAATTTGTTAGTCTCTAAGGTGCCACAAGTACTCCTGTTCTTAATGAGAGGTTAGGGTCCCATTATACTAAGCAAGTAACAAGGATGGCCTGTGCCCAAAATAGCTCAGGTGCAGTTGCATAAACTGTGTAAGTCACAGAGATCGAAGTAGTCACAGGTGTTTGTCATCTTAGCTAGTGGGAGTGATTCGTACACATCCAAAGGTAGGCTTTAGGAGGTATGTAAGATGATAAGTTGTTGGCATTGAGAATTTTCATGGGAGTTTGTACAGTAACTCCTCACTTAACATTGTAGTTATGTTCCTGAAAAATGCAACTTTAAGTGAAACGATGTTAAATGAATCCAATTTTCCCATAAGATTTAATGTAAATGCGGGGGGTTAGGTTCCAAGGAAATTTTTTTGGGCAGACAAAAGGCATTATATACTGTACAGTACTGTACTGTGGTTGGGAAGTGCCCCTGGCTTACCCCATACAGGCACAGCCCACTGCAGGCAAGGACACTAGGAAGCACCTTCGCAGCAGCAGTGGCAGCTTCCCCGGAGAAGAACAGGCACCGACTTTGCCCGGGATGCTCCAGGCCTGCCTTTTCCCAGCCCCGCTCCATTCCAGGCCCACCTCTTCCTACCCCGACTCCACCTCCTCTCCGGAGCACACTGCATCCCCTCTCCTTCCTCTCCCTCCCTCCCAGAAAGTCCTAAGCGCTGCCAAACAGCTGTTTGGAGGTGGTGGAAGCACTGGGAGGGAGGGGGAGGAGGCAAAGAAGAGGAACTTGTGCAATGCTCCCTTGTAAAGTCGCTGCTCTCCCACAGAATCTTACAAGCAGGCAGCCAAATGATGTTATAAGGAAGCATTCCACAACTTTAAACGAGCATGTTCCCTAATTGAGCAGCAACGTAACTTTGAAACAACGTTAAGTGGGAGGATGTTAAGTGAGGAGTTACTGTATTCAATACGGTACTTGCTACAAATTACTCATTTAGGCTACATCTACACTACAGGGGGGGTCGATTTAAGATACGCAAATTCAGCTACGCGAATAGCGTAGCTGAATTCGACGTATCGCAGCCGACTTACCCCGCTGTAGGGACGGCGGCAAAATCGACCTCTGCGGCTTCCCGTCGACGGTGCTTACTCCCACCTCCGCTGGTGGAGTAAGAGCGTCGATTCGGGGATCGATTGTCGCATCCCAACGGGACGCGATAGATCGATCCCCGAGAGGTCGATTTCTACCCACCGATTCAGGCGGGTAGTGTAGACCCAGCCTTAGTGCTACTCACAGAGGTGGTATATACCAATTATAGGTAATGGAGAAACCTGAAGCACACATATAAGTGAACTGGCATGACATTAAGAGAGCAGAATGTTTTAAAAATGTAAATATAAATAGTTACCGATCATGTCCAAAACTGTAAATAATGAACCGCCTAATTTTGGCTAAACGGCCCCCACTATTCCTCAGAGGTGAGCTTAAATCATGATCATAATCAGACCAAAGCTAGAGGAAGCTTTTCCACCAAAAAGTTCATTATCCAAAAGCTGGGAGGTTCCTAAGTCCTATTTTCAAATGTGATTGAGGCTCCCAAGTCTCATTGAAACTCTATAGGACTTAGGCTTCTAAGTCGCTTATGAGCTTTTGAAAAATTGACTTGAGATAACTTGAGATAACTTAAATGATGGAGGACTTGAGTTCCTCCATCATTTAAAAACAGTTGTCAATTCTGAAAATACAGTGAAACCACATTTAGGTCCGGTCTACACTTGGGGGGGAAATCGATCTAAGATACACAACTTCAGCTACATGAATAACGTAGCTGAAGTCGATGTATTTAGAACTACTTACCGCAGTATCTTCACTGCAGTAAGTGGATGGCTGATGCTCCCCTGTCGACTCCGCCTGCACCTCTCACCCTGGTGGAGTACCGGAGTCGATGGGAGAGCACTCGGCAGTCGATTTATTGCATCTAGACTAGATGCGAAAAATCAACCCCCGCTGGATCGATCGCTACCTGTCGATCCAGCCGGTAATATAGAAAAGCCCTAACATATATCGCAATCAGTCTGAAACCCAAAGGTCTGCTGCAATTTGCAATCTGCCTCTTAGCCCCAGTCTACACTACAAATTTACATTGGTATAACTGTGTCTCTCTGGGGTGCTGGAAAATCCACACCTCTCAGCTACGGGATTAGACTGATTGAATTCCCTGGGAAGACAGTGCTATGTTGATGGGAGGGCTTCTCCCACTGACACAGCTACTGCCTCTTGGGAAGGTAGAGTACCTACATTGATGGGAGAAGCTCTCCCATTGGCGTAGGTAGTGTCTTCACTATGTGCTACAGATGGTGCACCTGCACCACTGCAGCGCAGTAAGTGTAGACAAGCTTTTACTAATACAGTGTATGCAACACAAAAATGCAGGGACTGTTGCAGCTGATCCTCCTCAGGAAACCAAAGAATATTTTCAAGAAGTAACAGTTGCCTTTTTCACCTAAATTAGGTCATCGAAACGTTTTCAAAATTCAATCAGTCACCTGCAAAGATTCTCCCACTGGTTAGTGATGTTCTAATAGAACATTTCTCAAGTGGATAGTCCTCATGCAAAGTGCTCCTTCAGTCCTGCGAAAAGTCAAATGCCTACTGCTGAGTTTTCCTCTGATGGCACGAGTGTGTCCGTCTTCAAGAGAAGC